CTTAGTAACATTGAACACAGCGCCTCATACCTCCACTGTGTGTGTCAGTATGCATGAAGGCAGAGAATCATGAGGTGAGCAAGCAGTGAAGAGGAGCCCTGCAAAAAAAAAAATCCAGATGAGTCCTGAGGGCCTGGAAGATAGTCTCAATGACAACTGACTAGCTGTCAACACTCATCTGTACTCGTATATCTTTCTGGCCTGACACATTTAGCTGGCACAAAGCCACAGCCTTGACATAAGAAGACGCAGCATAGTATACAGAACCCGCTCAGAGCTTAGGTTTGCAAAGCTCTACTTATGCAGCATGTACTTGTCTTTCCCACTAATTGACTTTCTTTGTCAGGGACATACTTGGGACTAACAAAAGACAGAAAACCCTGTAATGGGTTTTGGCTGTAAAGGACAGCTGTGGTGGCTGAGATTGAGGTACTTGCTGCTACATGCCCTTCAAATCAGTTGCCACTGAGTTGTTATAATACAATTTGGAGGCAACTGAAATCGCCATCGTACCTCAGACAGCCAAGTATAAAGTGCTGCTGGATAGGCTTACATTTTCATCACACCTATTTAATCCTGTGGTCACTTTTCTAAATGGTGATACAGTACAGCATGTTAATCATGTAAACAGGAAGCGCTTACAGCAACTACCTGGTGAACATAGTGAGCATTTAGTGTAGATACAAATGTGCTGGATGTGTAAATAGGCAAATGTTAATTTGACTTGTCCTGAGATGACTTTTGTTGTAATTGTACGCTATACAAATAAAATTTGAATTGAATTGGATTGACTGATAATCCACATTTCAATTTAACAGGCAATACTATGGCACTGTTGTTTTCACAGCTTGTTCTTTTTTGCCCATATTGGCTTTGTTTTAGGCAACAATTTGTCATCGATTTTCATTTTTCAATCATTAATACTAACAAGCATCTCATTTCATTTTGACTCTGGCACCAGGGATGGCCAATCAGATTCTGGGGGTAGCCAGTGCCACCTGGCTCTGGCCATGGAGCCATCAGCGAATAAAATAAAATGTTATGAAAAAAGAAAACACTCTAATCAGATAAAGCTTAAAATAGTTAAATGCCAGGTAAACTAGTGGACAATGCTCTTTTGAATGTGAATCATGAATAGCCCTCATCAGCATCACAGGTTGGTGTGAAAATGATTTCATCCTGCCTGTGCCAAAAGGCAGTTCAAGACCTCTTTATCAGAGTCATTTGAGCAAAGAGTCAATGAAACATTGCTATTAGCCTTGCTCTTTTAAAATGTGAGATGGTCTAATTGACTGTGTGCATTCAAGTAGAACACCAGAATTCCCTCTAGCAAGTTTAATAACATTGATTAGCAGCATAATGCATAATCAAGCCCTGAAATGTAGAGTGATGTCTACATTGGATGATAGTTTTACAATGGATGAATGCCGTTGTCTTTAAGACTTGGTTTATGCTTATTGCAGGCCTTTGTGTGCAGTCTTCATTTATTTTCCTCAAGTGTCTCTTTGAAACTGGTAATGTTGATCAGAGGCTCAACAGGAGTTTCATAACAACATCTTTTTAATGCTCACACCACTTGGTTGTGGAGGGCTTGCAGTGAGGAGCTGGGGATAATAGTGTGGTGCAGCACATCAAACAGAGCCTGGTCAAAAAGCAAAGCACTCACTATCTCATAGGAGTGAATTTAATGGCCACTGGTTGCTCTGGGCTCTTGACCCTCTCCAAGAGGCTCCATGTTAGTCACCCTCCAGTGCTTTCCAATTGAAACCCAGCCAGACTGGTGGTAGATGAGATTTCAACTGTCTACTCAAAGCCTGGATGACTGTACCACTACAGTTTCAGCTGGTTGTTATACTGGTGATAGGAGTTGGTGAAACTGGACACTTGCACCTTAGTAAGCTGGAGTTTTGCTAATGTTGTCAAAAATAGGGTTTTCTCACACTCCTGGTGGTTTGAAATCATAGATGTAATTTATGGTAGGGGACAGCTGGGACCCTACCACTTTCCTGATTGCCTAAAATTGTCCCCACCGCTACTTTTGATATTAACTGCATATGTTTAAATCAAATATATTTTTCATTGGTTCTACAAAGGCTTAACTCCCTTGTGTTCCCACATAGAGTTTCTATTATTGTTTGTTTGCTTTGTTTCCAACTACATATGCAGCGATGTGACTGCTGGAGCGCATTTTGGATGAAAACGGTGCAGAGCCCAGTCAGAGAGCTCGCTGGATCAGGCTCTCTGTTGTGCTTTGCCTTCAGTGATCACAACATTATAGTACCACTATCAAATTAAATATGCTAATATTGCTTATGATTTAGGTAACGCCGACTGTTGTTCTTCCTCAATCTGGGTTAGTGTAGTTAACATTATTTTCTGATGACTGGTTCAAACTCCTGCATTTATATTCCTCTGCGATGGTGCTAGCCACTGCCAGAGGCATTGTGTTTTCTGGTTGTCCGTCTGTCTGTATGACACCTTCAGGAAATTTCTTCAAATTTGGAGTGTCCACTTGGACTCAAGGATGAAGTGATTAGATTTTGGTGGTCACTTCTTTCCCATACCCGTGAATTTGACTGGCCGGTGGAAGCATACAAGCAGTAATCCTAGTTTCCCCTTAATTCAGCATGGATTAGTATCATGGATGCCGGGAATAGAAAAGGAGACATTAGGTTGTATTTCTCGGTAGAAGTAAATAGCCTGTAGAAAAAGGCTGAGTTGGCTCACTTGTTACATCTGTCAGCAAATAACATACCAGAAAGCCCATGCTTGGTGAATTAACTTATTGTTAATTTTGTGTTGTACTGCAAATCAGAGGTTCCCTTCATTTTCACAACTTGTATAGCAAATTAGGAGTTCCATTCATTCTTGTTTAGCTTTGTGGTTAATACAGACATCAGAGACAGAAAAAAGCCAAGGGAAAGAAAAGAGGAGCTAGGGTTAGGGTAAGATCAGCTGTAATGTTACCTGAAAGATTACATCCCTCTACTTCAAGCATTGTTTAAACCAGTTTCTTGCATTGCTCATTCTAAATGCATGAGCAGTGGCCTTTTGTTAGGGCAAGGTGTACACTTAGTGGTTGTCAATACAGGTATCAGAGAGAGGGAGACAGGCTTGTGTGCTTAATGTTATGTCACTGAGCACATCCTTCTGATGTAATTGTTAAAGAACAGTTTTTCCCATGAGCAAGACCAAAAGTCAAGAGACATGGTTGTCAGTGACAGTGTATTACATAGTGGTTGTCCATACAGGTGTCTGAGAAAGAGGCAGACGGAGTGAGTGATGGAGCAACTGTGAGCACTGGTATTTATAAAAACATATGAATAAATCTTAATAGGTAGGTCTTGTAGGTAGTCGTGAAAATGTAGTGTACACCATAATGTGAAATGTATGCCTTGTTAAAAGTATTTTATTTTTCCCTGTGGTAGTAGGACCCCAGACTTCCTGCCAAACTTATGTCCCCACCACTTCGCTCCAAATCAAACCTACGCCCTCATAAATATTCAATCAATATAAATACATTACACTATACGAACAGTATGTTTAATATAATACCATGCAATAAAAATGCACATTTAACTTCAACTTTATTAAATTGTAATTCCTTAATCTCTAATTTGTCACTATAATACCCAATGCCCTTTTTTTGGTGGTTATTTACTTATTGCCTGATTATCCCAGGTACAAAAAGTAATGTTTGCCAATTTATTTTTAAAATTATGGTTAAAATTATTGCCCATGTCTGTATTTTATAGTTATTGTATACATGTGATCCACATTTTTAGTTCAAATTAGCTTCACTTCCACCAGCAACATTAAAATGTTTACAAAATACTAAATCATTAAAAACTATCATGTACTATAACACAAAGGCTGTTTTGTCACCTAATGAATATCTTTTATAGGACCACTAAAGTTCAGTTATAAACGCAGGACTTTTAACTGAAGAGTATAATACCCAATGCCCTTTTTTTGGTGGTTAACATTTACTTATTGCCTGATTATCCCAGGTACAAAAAGTAATGTTTGCCAATTTATTTTTTAAATTATGGTTAAAATTATTACCCATGTCTCTATTTTATAGAGTTATTGTATACATGTGATCCACATTTTTAGTTCAAATTAGCTTCACTTCCACCAGCAACATTAAAATGTTTACAAAATACTAAATCATTAAAAACTATCATGTACTATAACACAAAGGCTGTTTTGTCACCTAATGAATATCTTTTATAGGACCACTAAAGTTCAGTTATAAACGCAGGACTTTTAACTGAAGAGGCGGTATTGCTACTTTTACTTAAGTAAATACCAACTTTAGCCCTTATCCCTTCATCTGCACTTTCAAAACATTAAGGAAAATGTTGTGAACAAACTGGACACAAAGTAATGTGGGCAAGTGTAGGCTGGCTTTTTAAAGCCTGGACCCACCTAATTCGATTCAAAGGCAGCCAACCAGATTAATTTAGTATAGATTTATAGACTTGGTGTCCAGATTAACAGAATATCTAATCAAGCATGAGCACAGGAAAGCAATTTCAGTAACTGAAAGCAGACTTTGTTTATATGACGGACAATGTTGCCACGTTCTCAACACATGACCATGGCCACAGCTCCACATTAATGCTGTTTTTGAGCATCATCATGTTGAAATGAACAGGTAGTCTGCCTTACTAGCCTCTTAACAGTGCTGCTGACATAAGGATTGTTAATCTGTTTAAATCAACACAAAATGGGTCCTTACAACTGTCAACACTAAACTTTACAACACATTTCAAATCTATGCGTCTGTTCAGAGACATTTCACATAGTTGACAGTTAACATGTCTTATCATGGCTGTCAGGAACCCAGTGTCTATCAGTCATTCCTGCAGTGCAGCTAAACCCATGTTCAAAATTTAAAAAAATACTGCTGTCCTGTGCTGCCATCTAGTGTTTAGAAAATAACCTGGCACTAATTGCTTCTTGTTTTATGCACTGACAACTTCACAACACACTGGTGCTTTGAAAGAATTTTATTCCTGGGTGTAGAATGAAGGCGACAGAGGTCCGTTTTACATATATTTTTTAAACTGGATATAATTCAGCCATTGAGAGCCAGGAACACTATGTAGCAGCCAAAAATCTGTATTGCGGCAGCTTAATGCCTCCGCATGCCAGTCTGTAACAAAAAATGTTTGTTGGTTCAAATACAACAAAATATTTTAAAATAGCTTTGGTGAGCCAAGTCTATACATATTTGCATATATAAAAGCGTGGAAAGTGTTTAAATATTAGAGCAAAATATAAAAAACTTTGACTATTGCACAACAACCTAGTGAAGACAGGTGAGTGATCACTGGAGCAGCTGTCAACTGCTTTTAGGGTTTTCTGCGTCTGTAAGAAAGTTGAGAGAGTTGAACAAATTGTGCACACTGAAGGATAATAAGATGGCCAAAACATCTATATAGCCAACAGCTTACTTATTGATCCCATGATGCTCACAACCAGGACCCATGTTAGAGCCAGCTCTCATCTCAAGAGCTACAGCGCACTGCAAAGAAGAGACACATTGGGACCCAAATGTATTGTTGGTACTATATTATTCTTGATACAAAGGGCAACTGAAAGATGCTTTAGCGACAGCGCAATGACAGTAACATTTGTCCATGCCTGTGATGTTTCTGTAATGCATTATATTTACAGCTCAGGGTCAGCCAACACAAAATAAATCAGTAAGTCAAGTTCATTACAGGATCCAGCAACCTTCTAAACCAAAACACAGTTTATTAGAGACTGATAGTATCATCTTACCCTTGTTTCCACATCAGTCCAAGCTCCAGCTGTTTGATCTTTATTGGCTGGTGTCCCTTCTGAAGATTTCCTTTTGCGACTTCAGAAACAGATGCAACATGACAAAGTTAAAAACAAAACAAAACAAAAAAAAAACAAAAAACATGGAGTGCCGTAGGGATGAAGCCAACCCAGCAGTTAGCATCACCCAAGTTCCTTTGACAAAAAGCCTATGCAATTTTTAGCATCAATTCTACCACCAGCGTGTCATTAAAAATCCGGAAGTGCAAAAATGCTAACTCAGTTCCGGGTTTTAGGATTCACTACTAGGACACTCTGTCTGGTTGACATGCAGCTAAAAACCTGCTGTCAGCTGCTACCTTGTGACTGTGGTCATCTCCTGTTTCAGAGTCTCAATGTCAGTGAACTGGACAGCCTGTCCTCCTCCTCTAGTTTTAATGACCTCACCCTATAAAAAAAAGAGAGAGAGATTTAATTCATAGTTCATCATTTCATAATTATCTTGCTATTCATCAGCTGAAATAAAGTGCTAATAACTGCTATTGTTTATCTAAAACAAAAGTGACATGCACCTAATGTTTTAATTCATAAACAATTTTGGAAAAAAAAAAAAAGATTATGGATAACCCTGTTAAATGCTGCTGTGTGCATGACCAAGACCAACACTTAGCTACTGGGAAAAATAGACATTCTACTGGAGCCAACATAAAAACCACCAACATGAACAACAACAAGGAGACGGCTATCAAGTCCAGACCCTCCGCAGACCACCAGCCACTCACATTTACCCCCACTGACGTGCATGCTGCACTGATCCCACCCAATGGCACCCCTCCTCCCCCCTAAAGGTCAAGTTAATTTTATTTTCTATATAGTGCCAGATCACAACAGAAGTCATTTAAGGTCTATACCTTATTCTTTTATTAAACAAACTAAATAGCCTTATGTTATTTATCTTATTTACACAACGGCATGTAATTTCTGTCTCTACATGGTCGTGTGTTTACAATTCTCCTCCGCTCTCTGGAGGGGAGTTCCGCCCCGATGCATGCGCACACACAGGTGAGCACACTCCCACCAGCAGACAGAGGGCGCACGTTGGAAAATATGATACCTTGCATCAAAACAAGCACTCACTTTTCCTTGCTAAGCTGTGTTAACCTACTGGTTTCTGCTATTGGTTAAGTTCTAAATGTATCTATACAGCTGGTGGATAGCTCGGTGTTAACACTAACTTTGGTATGGCGAGATGGGGTTCAATTCTCAGCGAGGGCCCTTAATGCTATCTGCCTAGCAAGATGCTACAGCGGGGGAGCCATATCATCCTCCCCACAATCGGAGATTGAAAATCACAAAATTTGTTTTGTGCATCTAAATCTAAAATGCATGAACAAGAGCACCTCCTTGTGCTGATTAGCTGAAATAAGCCGGCCCAACTCCAATCCTTATTTTCCCCGCCTGTACCAGAGCAAGCAAAGCACGCCGCCACCTCAGGTTTGTGGAGCGTACAAACTGAAACCCCAGGCAGAGATATGTGAGAAAAATTTAGCTGAATATGACAAAATGTGTAATGTGCATGCAGCTCAAACTTGTGCCAAGTTGAAAGTGATACATAAATGTTACTAGGTCCGACCTGGTAAGATTGCCGTCATGACTTTTACGGAAAAATGAACAGGGTGCTCATTCAGACCGGAAGCAGACACGTTCAAATGCCATCAGCGTAATGGGAAGGTGTGCATGTCTGAAAGGGGCGTCATATTGCAATGTACTTACCTTAATAAGTTTGGTCTGTATCTCACCATCAGAGGAGACCTCCTGATGCGTTAACACATATCTGTCACACTTGGAGAGGGCCTTCTCACTGGGCGCAGACACCTGGATAGCATTTGGAATGACGGGCTGCAAGACTGTACCCAAATCCAGGCTGGAGGAGGGTTTGTGGTCCACCCACTTCTCCCCGCCAGCAGAACGAGAGCGCCGGTGCAGAGGCCGTACCGGTGTCGTCGTCTGCCCAGATCAACAGAGTGGGGTGGAAAAAGGTTTAAAGAGGGAGAGGTCTGAGAGGTAATAAATCTGGTCAAATGATTACATCAAAGCCTGACAAAGTTAGGTTATAAAACAGTTAAATGGCTCAAGATGCTTTTATTTGTAGGAAGGATGTGGGGAAAAAGGTGAAATGGAAATGGAAAAACACCTGCATAAAAATTAAAAGCCTGATCAGGGACACCAGCTTTCTTTTGAATACAACCTCATGACTAACTCACTGACCCTGTAGCTTCTTTCAATTACATCTAGGTCAAATGTAGGTGATGGGACACAGGCATCGTCTTTTTCTCTTGTCCAACACAGAGCTCTTCTCCTGTTCTGGCTGGCTGAGAGGACGGCTGGGGACTGGATTCCTGCAGGTGAACTAGGGGAAGAGTAACTCTGGCTGCTTTCCTGAGTTGTTTTCTGCTCGCAGTCCGAGATGCAGCTAGGCAAAGACATAGAGCTACTGGTGGTGGGGGTGGGGATGGCGGGCCTTGGGCTCATCTCAAACTCCTCAACTATAGTAGCACTGACTGGCTGTGACTTTGGCACTGGGCTGACATGGGGAGACTCAACAGGGCTCTGAGAAGCAAAGTGGCAATACTGCATAATTAGTATTAAAAACAGATCACAAAATCTAAATGTTAGTCAGTGGTAGAATAAAGTGCACTTTGCAGGGAATGAAACAGTGAATGGCAATTTCTGTAATTTGAATCAATCAGGTAAAATATCAGTCATGCTCTGATTCCTGCTTCTTTAAGGATATACAGCTTCTGTTTTACATAATTCTAAATGGAATATCTTTTGTTTAACCAGCACTTCAAAAACCAAACAATGTATTAATGACTAATATCATCCAGAACTATTCCTATACAATTCCGCACCATGAATACAGACACATTAGTAATCAGACGGTGACGCATTTTCAGCATATGTACTTTTTTGTTTTACAAGAAAAGCATAAAGCACTGCAATATAAGTGTTTATGATGACATATCACCATCGGGATTAGTATTGTTAGTTCAGTCAGGGTAGTGTATTAGTTTGTGTGTGGATGAAGGGACAGAATTGCATTCTGCTATACTTCTCATGTAATCTAACAATGTTTATTAGTAAGTTAATTAATCAGGAGCTTGGTAGATGTTCTACATGTGCACTGTCTAAAAAACTTACAGGGAGAGGAGAAGGGGAGGCCGATCTCTTTGCAGGTAGGCGTTCCTCTCTGGAAGGCCGCTGCGGCTGCGGCTGAGGCTGCGGATGCGTCTGACGTGGTGGAGGTTCTGGACAACCTGGAGCCTTGCTCTCAGTCACGATGGCCTTGAGCTGCTTCAGTTTCTCGTCTTTCACCCAGAGCTTGTTCTGCATCTCCAGTTGCATTGCATTAACACGTCTCTCCTGCACAGCAACAGATGGATATTGAGCTTCTATAGCATGCTATAGTAAACAAAAAGCTATTTTTGTTTAACCAACATCTGTGTCATAGTAGGAAGAACTTACACATTCTTTCTCCCACTTATGCTGGGTATCTGAGACCACACCCTGCATGCGCTGCTCCATGCGTCTCTTCTCTGACAGCTCCCTCTGAAGCCTCTGCGCTCTGGTTTCCAGCTCCTGCTGCATAGAACGCTTGTCGTCCTCATAGATTTTAGTGGTTTTCTGCAGGATGTCAATCTGAAACAGAGCCATGGACATTTAATAACATAACTACAAACCAACACACTTAAGAAATAAAGAATGTTTTTGCTTCCTACCTTGTGTTCTTGCATCTTGTTTTTTTTCTCCAAGCGTTCAATCTCTGCTTTGTTGTTCTGGATGATTTTGTCTTTATCTATCAGTTTGCCATTTTGTTCATGAATCAAGTTGTCTTTGGAAATTAAGTTACTGTCCAGCTCCTGGAGCAAAGACTTCATCGTGTTGGCTAAAATAATATGGAAAGAAAATATGAGCCAAATTAAGAAATCCACCTTCCCAGGAAACCTGATGTGTCAAAGTCAAAAGGTGACAGCTGAGCTAAAATGAAGAGGCACCTGCTTTGTTGTATTCCTCAATCATCATCTGCCTGACCCTGTGTCTGTTCTGCAACGCTTCAATCAACCTGGGCAGTGTGATGTCATCATGAGGGTCAGTCAGCTCAGAGGAGGGTAGAGGTGGGAGGGTGTGCACCACATGGTTTATAAAAGAGGACACATCTACAGAAATAAAGTATTAGCCCAAATATAAAGACCGTGCATTTTTTGTGTAAATGTATATTTGAAAAAGTTGGCTTGTCTTAAATTTATGAACTGCTGTTGATCTGCATTCACATAAGCTGATGGGGCGTGTACAGCTTGAGAAGAATCCAACTACATAACTGAATAATAAACTGAAGGAATGAGCATTACCATCACCAAGACTTGAATCCACCAGCACATGCTGAATTTTTGTTAGATGGTACAATATCTGCGTGAAGTTGGCCCCCCATCCAACGCAAAATAAAGCCAAAATGGTGTAATCCGTTTGTGCTTCGTTTGTGCTGGTTTGTGCTGCAAAAAGTTTCGTTTGTGC